TTAATGTATTTTACTGTTTTTAGCTTTGTTGTATGCCACCCAGAGTTGCCTGTGGTGAGATGGGCAGCTATATAAATTGATTTAGTAAACAAACAAACAAACAAACAAACAATTCTTTTTAATCAGTTAACCATTTGTTTGTTTTTGTCTAATTTATATAGCTGCCCATCTCACAAAACAAACAACTCTGGTGGCCAGCCAGGAGGTGACCAGTCCAACCTTTAGTCACTTCCTGCCTCATTCCTCAAAAACCTCCCACTGGAATCCATGGAAATGCCAGCACACGTTAAATCATCAGTAGGCATCAGGTTGCCTATGCCTGGAATGGAGGTTAGGAAGGAGATTCAGGATGCTAGGGGCTTTTTGTTATTTCTTTCGAAGTAGAACAGCAGCTCCAGGCAGATGGAAAATCATTTTCTTTCTGCTGATCCTCCCAAGTGAAAGATAAAAGTGCAGTTATTTGAATCACATAATGAATCTGATGGACCTCCAGCAAGAGAACCCCACGATCTGCAGGTGTCTAGCCAGGAGGATTATATCTCAGGCCCCAGAGGCTGGGCAGCGAAGAAGGGTTGTAGCAGCTCTAGAACCACAAAGAAATGGAGTAGCACAACTAATATGCTTGATTATAAACCAGGATATGCCCAAGCCTTATATCCCAAGGGTAGGTTTATTGTTCTCGCTTATAATCAGTCACAAAATTACAGATCTTAGCTCCATCTTCTCACCCTGCCGTTTTCTTCCATATAGAACGTGGGTACGAAAAAACCAAGCTTTGCAGATGTTGTGGCCATGTCTCTATCCCTCTGAATTGCTGTCAGAAATTAAGATTGGCTCTGATTTGGATTTTGTTTAATTTGGAGGCAAAGGTATCCCACTTTGAACTGGTTAACACCCTTTTTTTTAGTTGCCACATTTAATCTATATTACCATATAGAATTCATTAACCTAACATGAAATGAACATTCCAGAATTTGAAGCTTAAAATTATATATGAACCTGTATGAAGGCATGATTAATATTATTAAGAAACTGGCAGTCATTTATAGTTCAGTACTGACCACTGGATCACAAAAAACAGCAATGGCTGAACAGTTAAGCAACAACATCATTTTAAATTTATGGCACAGGTTTTTCAAGTGGAAATGCTAAATACCGAACCCAGGAAATGTTAACAAACAAAGCACCTGCTATTGCCATAAGCTATGCTCATTCCATTCCACAGATTTTCTTTCCAATGAATGTGCTATGATCATCATTCAGTTCTACTTATGTTACCCCAGGGACACCCATAATAAAGATACATAGACTTACGATTTGTAACTTTGGCTGTTAGTATCTGGCTGAATTTCTCTGGAGACTCCACATTTTCCTCATCAGTTACATATTCAAAGCTAATAATAAACATCATGGCCACTCCTTCTTGATTCTTCACTGGGATGATGTGGGTGTTACAAATGAAGGTAGACCCTAGGAAGAAGAGGGAAAGGCCTCAACCAAAGTTCCAATTATTTCCATGCTAGTGATTCCAAGAGGGTCACCATTCAGTGAAATATAGTCATTCCTGTTTTGATGTGAGTGCCCTCTGACAAATCAAACACAGCGTGCTCCATTCCAGAAAATATCTCATTTGCATTGTTCCTTCTCTCTCCATTGCATTTTGTGCACCACAAAAGCTTTGGACACATGTGTAGCATCCTGCCAGGAAGAAATTCAGTATCAACAACCAAGTGAAATTTATTTTATCTTTAGTCCAGTACAAATGATTGAGGACTCTCTTTGTAGCAATGCCACAAGTGAAGACCTGGTTCTCAAAGCACTGAGGCAGACATGGCTTTCCAAAGGCTTAAGGTGGTCATGTGAAAGGTTTTTCCTGGTCATTTGCACATAGGTATACATGTACAGAATCTGCTGGGATTGCTGCCAAAATCAACAGTGTAGGGAACCTGTTGGACCTCAATTCCCATCAGCCAAAGCCAGGATGGTCAAAAATGTTCAGAGTCCAATACCTTTTATAGGACAACAAGTTCCTCACCTATGTCTTAAGAGGCATGAAAGGACATCTGATTGCAAGCAGACAATAGTTTTTCAGGAATGAATGTCTTTATTATCTTACTTAACAATGCTGGAATAGAAGAGTTGTTTCCAGTGATTGCTGATGCAAATTATTCTTGTACTTTTAAAAAATATATACATTTAAACATCCATTGAATTGCCACAGCATGCACATCTTTTATTTCATATCCATTTGACCCCACTGTCTGCATTTTACTAATCTACTTCCATGTGAGATTATCTCTACCAAGTGAGAGTATATTTACCATCTAGTTAAATGGTCTGTGAAGGCTTATTATACCATTATAAATGTATCACAAATCTCTTGCTTTTCCTGAAAGCTGACTAGGTCTTTGGAAGATGTGACGCATTGTATATATTTGTGTTTGTAAAATTGTTTTCAATTTAATCAAAATTGCAGTATCTGTTTCACCAGTAAACTTAATCCCAGGTATGTCTCTCTCTTTCTCTGAGTATGTACACACACCCATACCCACACCCACACTTATGTAGGCTGCTCTGGGTAGAAGTGGAAACGTGTGGGACTTAGGAACTTACAAGGGCTGGTTCATCCTCCACAAACTTTAGGCAGGTCCTAAGTGAAGTTACCTAGTTTGACCCCAAAGACGACAAAACAGTGGCAGCAGTTGTCCCTCTGACTCAGCAATCTGGTTTAAGTTGTGCTTTTGTTGCTGCTGCTACAAAAACAATTGCATTGTACTTGCCATCACTTTCGCTTCCATCATATGGAAACTATGCAAAAAGCATCACTGAAGATGTGGAAAAATGCCCTTTGTTTTTGAAGTCCAGAGCATATACTGAAGTCAGTGAAAAGGGCTCTTTCCTGTATCTTTTATATTTAGCTTGTTCTTTTTTTAAAAAAAAAGAAGATACATAATTGACCGAAAGTAGTGAAATCTATTTCTTCCCCTCCAGAACCTGCCACTTATTTATTTATTTACAGTAACTTTTAAGTCTCCTCCTCCGCCTAGGACTCCAGGCTGCTGCTCAGAGTAAACCAAAATCCATGTAACAGCCCTAAAACTTACAGATTACTATCATCAAAATAAATCCCATCCTGTAACCCCTAAAGCATTGCAGCAAAATGAGACAGACAGGCCGCTCCATGATGGTATCCCATTTACTGTACTAGGAATGATCTGCACTGTTTACCGACTGCTTTTTGCACTTAATCCAAAGGGTTGGCAGTAAAGAGTAAAGTCCTCCACGAGAACCACCTGTTTCACGGTGATCCACCCTGGATGTTAATTCCTCCAAGGGAGGCGTTTCTAATGATAGCCCCCAGTGCAGTGGCCTGCTTGTTAGTCATGTGGGATAATGTCTTCTGTGTAGTTCCTGAAATGTGCAAGACACTCTCTTTGGATCTGTAGTTGCTTTGCCATTTTTCTGCTTTTAGGAAGGGTGTCAAGACACACCTTTACTTTCAACATGTCTTCTTGACCCATGCTGCTTGAAGGGCTGGCTTTGCCACTACTGGATTATGCTCATAATGTTTCTAAATGCATTTGTGATCCTTTTGTTTTATGTTTCTCTTCCTATATTTAGTCACCTTGACTGCCATTCTTTGATGGGAGTTATAGTTCAATACATCTGCAGGGTGTCAACTTGGGAAGGCTGCTGCATTCTAGCATGTATCACATAATAAAATTTATATTGTTTCTCCTGTTGTATGTCGTTTTATGATTGCACAAGCCACACATAAAAACTGACAGGTCTTGCCTTTCAAATTTTGTAGCTGCAGATTCAATCCATTTAATAAAACAGTTAAGCTGTGACACTTGCCACAGTTTCCATGGGAACAAACAGGATGACTTTAGTAAACAGAAAATAAGCAATTTAAGACTCTTCCATCGGGGTAAAAATAGAAGTGCTGCAGGCTGCAAGCTGAAATTGAGACTGGTTAATCAGAGAACTGGAAGAGAGACTAGACAGAGCCATTGTGCTTTCAGTTAATTAAAAAAAATAAATATTGACTTTAAAGATTTCAAAATGATATTTCCTGATTTATTGGAAACGGCAGCTGCGCCACGTAGTTAAGAATTGTTTGACATGTTTTGCATCAGGTTTATTACATAGTGACATGCAGACTGGTTGGCCACTGATGCCAGTGAAGAGGGGGGGAAGGAGATGAGATGCATACTTAGAGCACAATGTAGAATCAATTGTAATAGGCTTTGGACATGGAGGACTTTGCTCATGCAATCCAAGTTTGGCACTATTTTGGCAGGAAGTAGTGTTGGAAGCCTGGAATGTTGAGTTTCCCTCTTGGTTTTTAAGTGCATGGCTGAATCTGGAGGCAAGGCCACTCAAGCTTGTTCTAACTCTTTTTTGCCCTGGACTTCCTCTTGGACTATGCTATATGACACCTGGAGCTCTGCTTATTACAACTGGTTAGAGTTATAGTTCAGTACATCTGCAGGGTGTTGTCAGCCTTACCAGGTAGACCAGACAGGAAACAAACCAGATGAGCTAATTCTACTTTACTGTAAACTACATTAACAGAATCTTGCAAGTCTGAAAGTACAGTTCTCCCACTGTCTCCTTTACAGCCTGAAAAACTAGGGAGGGTCTCTTCTGAGCCTCTTGCCCCATCCACTATCCAGCTGCAGGCTATGCTGTCTCTTATCTGACCGTTCCCTTGGCAGCGCCTCTGGGCCCAGTCTCCCAAGGTCATTCCCACATATCATTACAGATGTCAACTTGGGAAGGCTTATGCGTGATCAAAAAAGAGGTTTGGCATGAAAATTGTACATATTAATTCATACAACTTGATGTAAATTTAGGTATGATGGTCATCATTCAAACAGGAAGACCAAATGGCTTAAGACATTGGAAACACTGTGATCAATTATCCCATGGGCTTGCCTAGTAGTTGATGGGCAACTTTAAGAATGCTTTTTGATTAGGCACACCATATCTGGGTTGCAAAATCCCAAGTGACTCCCAGATGGCAGCCTTGAGTTAGACATGGCTTGCCTGTTTCCAATGGAGCATTATTTCTTGAGTTGGGCTGGAAGAAGATAGGACAGTTCTTCAAAGGGACAGAACTGTCCTTCAGCACAGCCTGGGGCCCCACCCAGCCTCCAGGGTTCTGCAAATGGGATATTTTAAGGTGACAGAAGGGGAAAATGAATAAATATATGAACTGGGGCATCAGCATGTTAACTACATTGAATTGTTTATGTAGAAATCCTACAGTTAAAGTAATACATTTCTCCTTCTTTTCCTCATAATTTGAAAATTTAAAGGGTTATTATCTCCATTTCTGGAGTTAAATCTTTTAACTGAAGTGTAAATGACTCTAGGTTTATCTTGAATTATGAAATACAATCTTAAATACATTCTTCCAAACCATTTCATCAAACCACAGCTTTGCTAGATACTAAAGAAATTCTCATTTTCAGCTTGCCATTTCCTACATGACAGCCTAATGTCACAGCAATTTTTCTGTATTCCAACAGATGGTTCTAGATGTGACTAGAGAGAAAATGAAAAGCTCTTTATAGCACAAGTAAAAATAAGACCTTGAGGGTACCATAACCAAATTAATTTGTGATTGAACTTGGCTACTGGAATAAGCCAGATCCACTGCTTCTGTGAGTCAGCACAGTCATCTACCTATCAGGCGTGTGCAAAACTTTTAAAATTCAAACCAAACAGCTCATTTTGAGTTTGAAACATCCTGGTTTGGGTACCGTGCTTGGCACTCAAAAGAGGCTTTTACACTCAAAATGGGGTGTTTTGACCTCATGCTGTTTTGAATTTGAAGTAGTTTGAATGCAAAATGTTTTGCATGTTTGGACTATCTATGGAGAAATTATGTTTGATGTCAGACTGAGAGCCAAGTTCAGAATGTTTCAGAAGGGATTCCAAAACACACTGAAAATAAATCCATTGATCACCAGGAGTCAAGCTCAGTTTAAGGGGTCATAAGAAATTATCCTTTTCTTAGCCCCAATACTGAAGTGGTTGGCCATGGAATTCCTGATGATCTCCCATCCAAATACTAATCAGGTTTGAATCTGCTTAGCTTTGGGGGGATCAAGAACAGCTGATTAGATATAACCACCTACTATGCCATGATGGAAAAGTAAATCCTATTCAATTTAATGGAGTTTATTTCCAAGCAGAAATGTGTATTAATGCACTGACTGCAAAAATGGAATACATTCAGAGTTAAAAGACCATGATTGAAAGCTTGGTTGAATGAATTTTCTTTTCTTGTGAGATAAAAGAGAGATTCACATTTAATTACTTATAACTATACTATGTAAGTAACAGAACCAAGACAAAACAAACCTGTGTACATGCAATATAATAGAAAAACAGAATCAGTCTCTGCTAAATAAGCTTATAGTTTTGTTCATAGTTTGTTTCATTACTGCT